TTATTAAAGCGTTGCAACTATACGTTCCAAAAATAACAATCTGTTAATCACTATCGCATTCAACCGTTAATTTTCTGCAGCCATCGAAAAAAAAACCAGCGGCCGATGAACTTGTGATGAGGATGACTGATGTGGCGACTTTTTGTGCGAAAATGGATGACCGCGCCAATAAAAAAGCTGACGATGGGAAAAGTGAATATTTGCAATTTTTAAAATAATATGCTTGAAATGAGTTTTCAGTGAATGGACAGTGTTAATTCTCAAATTGAGAAAAGGATTTAAACGAAAAAAAGATAAATTGTGGTCGTCTTGTAATTAGTTTGGCTTCAAAAAAAAAGAGCTCTCGAAATGAGTTATTTTTGAAATGAACTCGTAAGTGAATGTGCTTTTTTGATAAATCTAAAGTGCAAGATAATGCAGTCAAACATCGCACACATTAATCGCCATCGTTATTCGTTCCAGCAAAACCTTTCGACATGTCGCTCCCACCGGACGACAAACCAGTCGCACTGGATGCCGTTCTTGCGGACTTGCAATCCAATGTTCTACCAATGGTATGAGCTGTCACCTCATTCATAATATTTATACTACAGACAGCGATAATGGTAGGAGAGATAGTGATGATAAGATTCGCAGTATTTTTTTTAATTGCAAAAAATNTACAGACAGCGATAATGGTAGGAGAGATAGTGATGATAAGATTCGCAGTATTTTTTAATTGCAAAAAATAGTATCAGTATGTTAGGACGATTTCATGACAAAACTATTTTGATGGACATAGCTTTTACCGTGTGAGCACTCACTTCGAGCAGTGTGAATCGATGAAGAAACATGTGCAATTGCTTGCAGTTCGATGAAAATCCTCCGATCAGAGCACATGCTCTATACCCAGGAACTCAGTCCAAAACGGACATTATTGTCAGTGCTCTATGCGATACACTCGCATCGCAAGGCAATATTACGGTAAGTTTTTGTAATTCAGTTGTGCAGTGGTGGAGTGAATGACAATTGAATTGAAAGTTTCTTCTCGGCAGGCAGTGATGTCAAAGTATAAGTGTTAATAGAGTAGTGCGGTGGAATATTGCATTTGATGTGCTTCAGTGAGCATGCTTGATTGGTTTATCGTAGTTGGAATTACAGCTGTTTGCATCGAGAGGAAGTGCATTTTAGGATCGATGTCAAGCGATGAATCGATTCGAGGTCGTTGTAACAAACTGGATCGGTAAAGCAATCGGACTACCAAAGCAGTTCTTATTCGAAAAGAACAGNATCAACGGATTTCTTAAAGTCTATCAAAATCTAATGAAACGATCGTTAACACAAAACTGATATTCTCGAAGATATTTAGTGCATAAATCACCACTTTTCGAAAATACTATTATGAATTATTCTGATTGTTCGCAATCTAGCTAGTTTTAATTGAATATTTTGAGGATTTTCCTGGAAATGAGCAAACAGTAATAATGATTTTGAAGAACACAACAACGCAATCAATGTTCACAGCACTTGTGGCCGCCTGTCAACGTAAATATCGTGAACTAACAACGGTTAATAAGGAAATAAAGAAAGACGACGATGCTAAGCAAGCAGGACTGATCAATAAGACGGTAGCGTACGGGTCTCAAGAGGTTTATCTAATTCTCAGTTCTGATACATTACTGCGAAGGGGATCAAAATGCTTGATTCCAAGCGTTCTATATGAATAAGTTTGTAAGGTTCATTTGAACTCGTTCAATCATGTGCTGCCAAGATTCACGACAGAAGCGAGGCAATTCACTCAAAAAGTCCGTCTTTTCACTGTTACCAGAAATTTGGTGTATTAATTCGGTAAATACTTGGTGTTAAATGCCATCTCCTGGTCACGTGTATGTACTCAACTGTTTGATGCAACGGTTGAGTCGATAATTCAGTGGACAAATAATTCATCGATAATCAACTTATATTCTGTGTTATTTTATTGTGTCAGTCACATCATTCCTCACGATAACAAATGAATTAAGTCACATTTCTCGTTCGATATCGGCTGTCGTCTGGCAAAAATAGAATGCAAATTGATTCCTCTGGCGGCAGATGGCACAATGGATGTGGCAGAGTTGGAACGCGAGATTGAGGTTGTTTCGTACGATTTTTTGCTCTGATGACTGGTTTGGTTATTAGAGAACGATTTGAATTGGCCACTTCGGTCACCTGTTTTGCTTGACGTATTAAACAGCATTAAACAGTGTCTTGAGGGATGGTCTGTCCAAACGATAATTTACGTATGAGCTAAGAAAGCATTCGTGAATGGAGCAATAACTGTTCAGTTTATCTCTTCAGTTCATCGAAAAAAAACCATAATTTTACGAAATCTCAACTGTGACCGAACGCAATGTTTTTGAAGAACCAGATTCCCTCAATGGTATCTGCGAATGTTTCGTTCGAAACAACTATACTTCATCAGCAGTTCTATAATATACATCTAAGACAGGCTTCAGTTGAGTCATCATTTGATTCAGAAAGACATCAGTAATGGCAAAAGACCGACCTTTATCAATGTAACACTCGGTTCAAGCCAAGCTTACACTTTTGATAAACTCAATGAAATAGTCAAAATAGCTAAAAAGTTAGTCTCTCGTTGTCATATTATCGAATAATTCATCACATGTGAATTGCGTAATACAATTCTGTCCACATATTCTTGCGAAAAACGATTAACAATTCCTTCCAATAAAATGTTCTGATCATTCTAATAAAAGTTCTCAATAATTTAAAGATACAACATGTGGGTACATGCGGACGCTTCTTATGCGGGTAATTATTTCGTTTGTGAAGAATACAGACCTCGTTTAGATGGTATTGAAGGCGCACATTCGATTAATGTCAATCTACATCAATGTCTAACACAATGCGTTACTGAATCGATACTTTGGTTTGTTCCTAATTCATATCCATTATATTCAGAAACAGTTGTCCATATCGTTTCCTGGGATGAGTTCAATTTTGTAGACGCTTATAGATTGAATTCTGTAATTTGGTGCCGCTTTGCCGTAGAATGCTTTACAAAACAACGAACATAGCACATTCTAAATCTTTTTCTTAGGACTGTGCCTATTGATCGAAACTAAAATTTCATTTTCGAGCAGAAACTATATTGGAGACGATAAAATGAAACAATGAATTCAGGTGATCTCTGGCAGAAAATTTGATAGAGATTGTTTGTATTTTCAAAAAATGCCGTTCGAATAACAATACGAATCTCCGAAACTTGTTTCAGGACAGCTGATCGCGAAGCAATTAGGCGATCGCAGCCTTTAGTTGCCAATATGCTCAGAGCCCTGCACGGTAAATTATACTCATTCCTAATATCCAATTTATTCACTGAGTTGTTCATCCAAATTTATTCACAACTTGACAAGTTTTCAATAGTTATTTAGCTTGCATTGTATAGTTTATGTGACATTTCGGATTAAGATCAATCTTCTGATGAGTACTTCCAGGGTAATCAATATTCCATCGGTAATCGTTATTTTCGGTTGATTTAGCACTGAGAGAATAAAACTTACAGCTGATGGTTCATGTCGTGAGCTGTCGACGGCATCCACAAATCGCTATAAGCCGTTAAAAACGTATATCTGGTTGAAACTGAATGGAATTGAAGGACTCCAAGAATACATAAGATCGGTAATATTGCCTTTTTAAGTGTCTGTTCGATTTTTATTTTTTTACAGCATTTTCAGCGTACGATTGTAAACAACATTATTCTATCGTAAATATCATTGTATATTTCTTTTTTAACATTGCTAGAGGAGAATCATTCAACTTCCAGGTCGCATCAATGACAGCACGT